TGAGGCTATGGCTGGTGGGTAATAGGTGCTGAATAAACTTCCGTTGAATTAACGAAGTCATGTGTTCCCTCCCTTCCTTCCTCAACCCACAGGGATTTTGGTGTCTGTCTACACAGAGGTGGAGGAAAAACTGAACTATTCACCATCTCCATCTCAGGAAAAAAAAAGTCTGGAGGGCGGGGTGCACGGCCCAGTGGGAAACCCCTCCCCCTGAACTGTTGTCAATCACACCTTGCCTTGTCGGTGTGAGCCAGGGCCCACGAACATGCAATTTTAACTTCTTTCAAAATAACAAGAAAAAACAATGATAGCGCTCATGAATACAAAATAATGAATCCTGCCTAAAATATGATTTTCATATAAGGGGCCCACGTACAAAAGTGCCTAAGACCCTGGAATAGAATAATGCGGCTCTGCCTGACCCATTTTGCAGAGGGGAAACTTTCAGTCGGGGTTGCAGGCTGGGGTACACATGAGCGATCCCCCCAGGCACTGGAGACTCCTTTGTGGGGTAGACCCAAGTAGGCAAGGAATTTCCGCAAGGTGCGCGTGCCACCTGCCGGGCATCTGCAGGGCTGCAGCCTGGAGATGGGACCAGTGCCGTCCTGCCCGTGGCTCCCGCCAGAGGCAGCTAAGTGGCACCGGCTCACCGGAAAGCAAATTTCCCAAGTCAGACAGGGAAGCTCAGGCCAGCGGAGTGTTTCATCCTCTATAGTGCTTCCTTTTTTTTTTTTAAATTTAAGATTTTATTGGGGAGTTGGGAGAGGGGAACGGACAAGTTGCTGTCCTTTTGTTCTTCAGTCTAGTTGTGGAGGACGTCGCTTCACTGGCCCATGTTGGTATTATCATTGCGCTCTTCCTGAGTAAGGCAGCTGGGTCGCCAGCCACTGGACGGCGGCTCACGATTGCTCTTGGTAGCTTACTCCAGCTGCTGGCTGCTCATGCTGGCTGCCTACAACTCACAATAGCTCACGGCAGCCCACTGCAGCTCCACTGCAACCTACACTGTCACCAGCAACTCATGGCAGCCCAGCTCCAGGTCGAGCTGTTCAGCTCACCATCTTAGCTGTAGAGGGCGCAGCATCACTGGCCCTAATGTGAAATCCGAACTGGGGCCCTGCTGCTCAGAGCTGACGTCCCAAGCCAGCTCTTAACCAACGTGCCATTCCTGGCCCTATAGTGCTTTCTGAATGCTCCACGGTGAAGTTGCTAGACAAATACAAGTCTCACAATTAAACTTGAATAATTCAGATAAAGAAATGAATAATTTTATGTATATCCCAAATGTTGCATGGAATATACTTATACTAAAAAGTCTGTCATTGTTTATCTGAAATGAAACTAACCCCTCTCTGGCCGGCCGAGTGGTGCATTGGTTAGGAGTTGGCTTGGGACACCAGCTCTGAGCAGCAGGACCCCAGTTCGGATCCCACATGAGGGCCAGTGATGCTGTACCTTCTACAGCTAAGATGGTGAACAACAGCTGGACCTGGAGCTGGGCTGCCATGAGTCGCCGGTGACCGTGTAGGCTGCAGTGGGGCTGGCCAGCAGTGGGCGTGAGCTTTCGTGAGCTGCGGTGAGCCACCGTGAGCGGCCATTCAATAGGCTGTCGAGCGACTGCCTCACCTGGGAAGAGTGCAATGATAATACCAACATGGGCCAGTAAAGCAACGTCCTCCACAACTAGACTGAAGAACAAAAGGACAGCAACTTGTCTGTTCCCCTTCCCTGATTCCCCAATGCTGTTCCCCTCCCCCAATTCCCCAATAAAATCTTAAAAAAGAAAAGAAAGGAAACTAACCCCTCTCCCTACGCACCCAGATCCCCGGGGCTTAACCAGATAATGTGGCCCTGGGGCCCATCCCCATCCCTTTCCAGGTGGGCTGTACTGGCATATTCCTGGTCTTGAGAGCCCAAAAGATTAGAATAGTCACAGTAATGAAATAATAAATTAAAAAGAATCTCCACGTACTTTGGAGCATGTCCTTCCCTGCTCAGAAGCCTCCCATGGCTCCCATCACCCTCAGGAATGACCCAACTCATCTCTGCTGTTTGCAAGGTCCCCCCCACCTCTCTGTTCTCACTTTCTCATTCTTCAGACCTCAGGGATGGGGATTTCTGGTCTTGAATGTTGTGGGGGGTCGTGTACAACCCCTCCCCCTCCCCTAAAGTACACAGCATTGCCATCTTCTAGGGGTCCTCCCCAAAATTGCCCCCCCCAAAATTGCAGGCCCACTGCCCCAAGCCCAGAGGATGGGTGGGGAGAGCTGCTCCCACCCCAGGGCTGGAGTCCTGCCCTACCCTTGCGGGAACCCAGCCGCTAGCCCCAGGGCCACCTGTAGCCTAATGGCAGCAGGTGGCAGGAGGCCTCCACCTTTAGACTATTGAACACCTAGCCCTAGCTGCTATCCACCCCCAACCTCAGAGGGAGGGGTCCAGACATCTGCCCAGGGAGGGGAGGGTTTAGATTAGAGACCAGGAGACCTGGGGCGAGAAGCCTCCCATAAAGGGCCAGGCCCCAGCTCAGTCGCCAATGGGCAGGGTAGCCTCCTCTCCACCAAAGAGCCAAACAGTTCAGAATGCACCCCCTGCCCCACCGAGGTACATGGGCCTCCCTGTGCTTCATTTTCCCTCTCTGCGAAATGGGTCAATATTAATTAATATCTTGCACAGTAGTTTTGAGGACTATGCCTCCCTTTGTTATAAGGAAAGGGGGCAGAGTAGGGGTCCCCTCCTCACCCCCCTCTAGCCGCACCTGTCTCTTAGTGATTTCTCAAACCCACCAGACATATCTTGCCTCAGGGCCTTTGAACTGGCTGTGATCTCCATCTGTTGTGCTCAGTTTACATTTCCTGAACTCACCTCCTCCAGGAAGCCTTCCTGGACTCGCCCCCACCAAGGTCAGGTTTCCAATTACTCACAACAGGCACACATTTTTCCTTCATAACCCTTTTCACTGCTGTCACGTTTCATCTCTCTAGGTGTTTGCGACTTACTGGTCCTGTACAGGTGGGGGTAGGGGCTGCCTGGTCGTTGCTATGGCCCCAACCCCAGCACAGAGTCTGTCACATAGAAGGGGCTCTGAAAACAGTGTGTAGCTGAATGGACGTGGAGATAAACAAAGGGCACACACACCCTGCGTCTGCAGGTTTGAAATGATTCCCCTTCCTGAATGTCCCTTTCAGCGCTTCAACTTTTTTTTCATTTTCTTTTTGTTTCAAGATGGTTATAGATTCAAATGCAGAGAGAGCTCCCTCACCAGGCTTCCCCCACAAGTAACAGTTTGCAACACTGTAGTACAATATCACAATCAGGATATGGACATTGATGCAAGCCACCAAAGTCGCTTTCCCCATTTTACTTTTACCAGTGTGTGTGTGTGTGTGTGTGTGTGTGTGTGTTTCATTCTCTACAATTTTATCACCTGTGTAGGTTTGTGTATTCAACACCACGGTCCAGGGACAGACCGCTTCCATCACAAGGGTCCTTCATGTCTCCCACCCACCTTTCCCCCTTGCCATCATTTGTCACTCCAGCAACCACTAATCTATTGTCCACATCATAACTGTGTCATCTTGAGGATGTTTGTAGACCAACTCCCACACCATGAACTTGTGGGGATGCCCCTTGCCACTCAGTGTCATTCCCGAGGTCCAGCCAAGGTGTTGCCTGTATCCATAGTGTGTCCACTGCTTTTTCTTGCTGAGTTGCACTCCGTGATGTGGCTGGATCATTGTCTGTTTAGCCGTTCGCCTATTGAAGGACAGCTGGTTGGTTCCAGTTTGGGGCTGTTGCAAAGACAGCTGCTGTGAACACGCGTGTGCACGTTTTGCGTGAACAGACGTTTTTGTTTCTCTGAGAGAGATGCTGGAGTCCAGCCCTCTTTAACTATATTTTAATTCCTTTTTCAGGGAAATCCTGCCACTCACTCTGCACACACCCACTTTTTAAATCCCCACAGCACACCTGGTTATTCATCCCACAAATATTTATCCAGCCCTACTGTGCACTGGGCCCTGGGAACACATGGGGACCAAGTCAGACATGCACCCAACAAGTACAGCACAAAGATGTCAGAGCTGTGGTGGAGACAGCACTGAGGCCAGGTGGGGTAACTGACTCAGTCTGGAGGGATCCAGGAAGACTTCCCAGAGGAGGAGGCAGCTGACCTGAGACTTGATGGATGAGTGAGGATGCACCTGGCACAACAGGGAACTGCATGTGCAAAGGTCTAGAGGCAAAGATGGCAGTTTAGGAAGCCACAGGGGGAGGGGAAATTTGGGAGAGTGGGGGCAGGAGAGGAGGTGGGCAGAGCCTGTGAGCAAAAGGGAGACTTTCACCTTCATGTCCAGCCCAGTCTGGAGGCTGGGTCTTAAAGACCAAAACAAACAAGCTTCAGGTCAATGTCAAAATGGCACGATTTCTCTGCCTGTTAGTCTCACATCAACATCTCAGCAAATCTGGATTGCTTGGAGACCCATGTCCCCAAATTATTTGGGAGGACTGGGGCCCTCCAAGATATGGATGGTTGTCCTTCAGGGTCACAAAGCCTACCAACTGCAGACTTTTGGAGAGGCTGCTCTATGCCCCCCACCCCCAGCAGGCACATACAGCCCCACCCACCAGGCGGTGGGGTCTCTTCCCTTCTGGTGAAATCTGGGTGGGATTCTGACAGCTCAGTGTGGAAAAGTGACATTTTGGGACTTCTGAGCACAGGTCTCAGGAGGCGAGCAGTTTCCACCTATTCTCAGAAGCTTCTGGCCAGGAATGTCTGACTTTCCAGGATCACCATACAGGGAGGAAGCCCAATGGCCACATGAGCGAAGCCTTCTCCAGCCTCCCTGGTCCAGCCAACACACCACATGGTCACTGTGCCCAGCTAAGCACCATGACCCCACAGAATCATGAGAGATAATAAATGAACGTTTTGTTTAGGGTGGTCTGTTACATGATCAGTACTGCTTCTCAAATGGGCAGCTCTGTGTACTGTGTCCCAGGAAGGTTTTATTTACTCAATGACACCAGCTTTCCAGCCAGGACGCTGGACACTCACCAAATAGCAGCAATAACACCTTGTTTCGTCAATTTTAAGATGCACAGCATGTTCACATTTTGATATCGCTGACAATGGGATGTATCTTACAATCGTACAGGCAATCTGGAGGCAGTGTGTGAAAACGTCTACTGATGCTTCCTGAAAAGTTCCAGAAGGTGCCAGTATCAAAGCATCTTCAGTTTCAGGAAATGCAGAAATAATCATCACAATAGCAAGAGCAGCGAACATCACAGCCAGTTTGTATCAAACATTACAAGAGGACAAGGTATGTTCACTAGGATTATCTTGGACAAAAATTAAGATATTAATAACAGAATAATAGCAGCGCTTGTTCCTGAGGGGCCCACCTCCAACGCGCTCAGAGAGGGGCAGCATGTTCCCTCAGGACGCATAGCCTACGAGGTCCCGGCCCACTGCTTCCCGGCTTCCGCGTCCTAGGGGCCGGGTGGGCGGTCAGGCAGTGCAGCTCGGCGTGGCGGGCGGCGGGGCACCAGGGCCCAGACCGCCGGTGTCGCCGGTGTCGCCGGGGAGCGCAGGGGCAGACGCGGCGGAAGGCCTGACGGAAGTGCGAGCCCAGGAACGCGTAGAGCAGCGGATTGAGCACCGAGTTGCTGTAGGACATGCAATGCGCCCAGATCTTGAGCACGTAAGCGGCGTAGCTGCGCGGGTGCCAGGAGCCCGCCGGGCCCAGCGCCTGCAGCACCAGGAACAGCTGGATGGGGCCCCAACAGGTCGCGAAGAGCAGGACCACAGCCGCCACCAGCCGAGAGACCTTGGTGCGCACAGCGCCCGCTCGATCCGCCAGCAGCTGCCCCTGGGGGTGGGAGGAGAACAGGCTATGGGCCACCCCCTCAGAGCTCTCCTCTTTGGCCCTCTCAGATTCCCCCACTGCCCCTTTCAGACCTCTGCAGATGCTCTTCCCCCCAAACTGTGCCAACCCCCACTCCAGCCTGGCAGGCGCCCTCCACCCACCCAGCGGCGCACCTGCAGGGCGCTGTCAGCGGGCGCGGGGCGCACCGCGGCCCGGCCCAGGTGGCGCAGCATGGCCCCATAGCAGGCACAGGTGGCGACCAGCGGCAACAGGTAGAGCGCCAGCAGGTTGTAGAGCGCGAAGGCGCGCTCGAGGGCGCGGCTGGGGAAGGCCTCGCTGCAGTAGATTTGCGGCCCAGGAGAGAGGCGGTGCAGCGCGAGCACTGGAACAGACACGGCTGCCGAGCCTACACCACAGGCGCGGCTGAAGACCTTGCCGGGGACGAGGGTGTCCAGGGGTCCAGGGCCCTGGTCCCCCAGATGCCCCCCCATTCCGCACCCTCAGTGGTTCTTCGCAGGGAGCGTTATTGCGCCTATTTCCCAGATGCAAGACCGAATCTCAAAGAGGGGCAGTCAGTGGGAGGGCGCCAGGGCAAGAGGACTTGTCCCAACCCTGTGACCCCGCGCTTTACTTACCCACCCAGATGCCCAGGCTGACGGCCAACGCCAGGCGGGGCGTTCGGCGATGCAGGGCACGCAGCGGAAATACGGTCACATACCAGCGGTCCACGCTCATGGCGGTCAGAGTGGCGCAGGTGGCCTGCACGGAGACCTGGGAGGGCCAGGAGCTGGGCGTGTGCCCTGCCTCCCACCGGGTCTGGGGTCTGAGCTGTCTGCGCCCACCCTGCAGGTCCCCCCACATGTCCAACCACTCAGGCACAGACTGGACGTGTCACAATTGAAAGGGTAGGAGAGGACCCATACCAGAGAGGAGCCCAGGATGGTGCGGGTTAGAGAGGACCCTGAGACTGAGACAGGGAGAGGTAGAGCCATCCTAGGAAACCAGAACAGGTCGGGCAAGGGCCATCTCTGTGCCCACCCCTGACACCAGCCCCTATCTGTGTGCCTCCCCATTGCCGGCGTCCTCCTCCTCACCACCAACCCGACAAGACTGCATCGCCTGGGCTCTATCCCCGCTGGCCCCTCCCAACCTGTCATCCAGCCCACCCACACCCAGACTTTGCCCCTAGCTCCCCAGCCCATGGCCCACCTGCTGAATGTAGTTAACGAACTTGCACATAAAGTCGCCCAGCACCCAAGCAGGCAGTGGGTAGAGCAGGGCGGTGAAGGGCACACAGCACAGCAGGAAAGTCACATCCGTGGCAGCCAGGTTAGCTGAAGGTGGGATGAGAGGGCGCTGGACATGGGGCACACAGGCCTCAGCCACCCAGCGCTCCTGGCCCAGGTCTCTAGCTCTCACCTTTGTCGGAGTGACCAGCTGGACAGCTCCAGAAGACCCCCTATTCCTCCATTCTCCCCTTTTACATTTCAGACATCCCACACACACCCCGCACATGCTTCATAGCCATTGGAGCAGCTTCAATGGGCCCTGCTCACCCCTGATTTGGGCTGGGAGAGCCTGAGCAGGTCCCTGTCTCTCTGAACCTCAGTTTCCTCATCTGCAAATTAGAGATTGTGGTGGAGAACACTGAGCACTCACTTGTGTGGGTAGGCCACCCCATCCCACAAATGTGCAAACTGAGCCACTGAGACAGAAGTTGCTAAGCAGCCCCATGGGCCAAGTAGCTCCTCCCCACACTTATTCATCAGACACTGTGTCATAAGAACCACATTTCAAAGGGACACCTCCCTCGAGTGGCAGGGGCGAGCTGTCTGTGTACCACACTCTCCAAGCTCCCTTTTAACTACACTGGCCCGCATGAAACCCCCCAATGCCAAAGTTTACAACCCGTAGCGTAAGGTACAGGTACAGTAGGGAAAGGACTGGAAAACTGCAAGGGGGAGACCCTTATCTGGGAGGACCCCGAGGCACCGCAAGGAGGCGCCCCGGGGCCACTCCACCCTCTTGGCTACCTCCGGAATGGCAGGCAGGCACCACGCAGCGCCCGGGCGCTCACCAATGTAGAAGTTGGTCACCGTGCGCATCTGCTTGTGGCGGCAGATGACGAAGATGACAAGCGAGTTTCCTGTGAGGCCAAGCAGCATCAGTGCGGCGAAAAAGAGCGGCACAAGCCAGGCGTCCACGGACCGCGGGTCGGGGGCCAGGCCGTCTGTGGCGTTGGCGCCACAGCCTGGGCAGCTGAATACGTTGGCAGGTGCCCACCAGGATGCATTGGTTCCTGACATGGCCAAGGCGCACATGGCTTCGCCGCCCTCTTCCTCCCAGCCTCCCTCCGGGATTGGGTCCTAGGATCTCCGGAGAAGCTCCCCCTGGCCGTCCACCGGGGGTGCCCCCTCGAAGCCCGGGAAGGGTTTCTGCTGGAGGCCACCGAGTCCGGAGGCCTCCGCTGGGCTCAGCTGCGCCTCTGCACGTGCCGCAGCCTCCGCGTGTTTATACCCCCCCCCCAACCATTGTCCCCGCCTTCCCGCCTCTCCTGCAGTTGTTCGCCACTCCCTCCCCTGCCTGTACACCCTCCACCCTCCCTCACAGCAACTTTCTCCCCATTCCCTCTTCCCCTTGAACAATTAGGGTGAGAGCACTAGAGGGTACGAGCTGGAGGAGGAGGTTGCATGGATGCTGCTGTGGATCCTGGAAGGACGGACCCTGGCCAGGGGGCAGAGACTCGCTGCTGGGGAGTCTGGCGGTTAGAAGATGTCTGTTCTTTAAAGAGCTCAACCTCCCTACAAAGGACTCTGTTGATCTTGAAAACCCACATTCAGAAATGTACCTGAGACTAGCCCACAAAACAGTGTACCAGGATGTCCAGGCCCTCGTGGAGTCCTATGCAGCAGAGAAAAAGATGCTACCCTTTGTATAAAGAGACTAAAATGGGGGCAGAGATGATTAAGTATGCACAGGTATCAAAACACATCAGTGTCTCCAGGGGGAAGTACAAACAGCCAGTGGAGGTGGGGGGACACATTTCCCTGTTCACCCTTTTTATATCTTCAAAGTTAATCTTTTTCTTTTTTTTTAAAGATTTTATTGGGGAATTGGGGAAGGGTGACAGTGTTGGGGAACTGGGGAAGGGGAACAGCCAAGTTGTTGTTTTTCAATCTTAGTTGTGGAGGGTGCAGTTAGCACAGCTCCAAGTCCAGTCACCATCCGGCCTCCCGTAGACAGCTCAGGGCAGCTCAGCTCAAGGTGCCATGTTTAATCTTAGTTGTGGGTGGGTGTAGCCCACCATCCCATGTGGAAATCAAACAGGCAACCTTGTTGTTAGGAGCATGTGCTTTCACCAGCTGAGCCCTTCTGCCACCTGTTGGTAGCTCAGCATCAGCTCAGCTCAGCTTGGGTGCAGCTCACTGGCCCATGTGGGAATCGAACCGGCGACCCTGTGGCTCAGAGATCAGCTCGTGCTCTTAACCAACTGAGCCACTCAGCTGGCCCTTCAAAGTTAACCTTGACAATGGGAACCCAGTTGCCTGGGTCCTCCTCCTCACCACCACCCTGTCCAGGCTCCACCTCAGAAAAATCCCTTTGGGGTGGTAATGAAAGGCAGGTTAGGATGAGGGGACCCACAGTTACCAGGTAGGAGTGGAGAAACTGTTTTGGGGAATTACTGGGGAGCGCTCAGCAGGTGGTTGGACCTTCATGGTGGGGATCTGGGGAGCAGCGGCAGCTCACAGACAGGACAAGGGTCCAAGGGTCTGGGAGAATGTAAAGAAGGTGCAGTACAGGTTCCCCGGGAGTGAGGGCCCCCATCAGGGCAAGGCCCAGGCTGCATCCTCTAGAATTGGCATATTTATTGAGCAGCTACTCACCATGGGCCAAAGCAGGAGAGCAAACATCCGTGGCCCCCAAAGCCCCCTGCTCTCCTCCTCCTGGAGGTCCATTCTCTCCCAACATGTATCACCATTGATTTCTTTTTGCCTCTTTTCACATTTATCTACATGAAACCACACAGTATGAGCTCTTTAGGGTCTTTTAGCCATTCCACCGCCTTTCTTCCCCCTCCCCGCCTTGCGCTTTATTTGTTTAGGCAACCTGGTTACTTGTCCTGTATAATTTGCACCAGGCTGGATCTGGTGGGTTGCATCCTTGTTCAGTTCCCCACTTTGCTTATAGGCTGAAGAGCGGATTCTAGATTCTACAGCAGCTTTAATTCTTTGCTCTAAGCTCTCTCGTGGCTCCCCATTGCCCTTGGGACCCAAACCAGGTCTGTCATCACAGGACCACCAGGCTCACAAATCTGCCCCTCCCTTCCACTTCTATTCCCCCTGCCCCCTCCATCACCCTGTTCTAGCCACTCTGGATTCCCCAGGGCCTTTACACTGGCTGTTCCCGCTGCCTGGCACACCCTTCACACTTTTGTAGCTTGCCTGTCTCCCTGTGAAAGGCCTCTTCCTCCCCCCACTCACTGAGGTAAGGGTCTGTGTTGGTCACTGCTGGGTCAGCAGAGCCCAGCACTGGCCCCGGCCCACAGTGGACATCTGTTAAACGAATAAACCCAAAAAGACAAAAAGGGTGGGGGCTGACATCTCATTTTCAGAGATGAGTTAACTGAGGCACCCAGCTGGTGCTCCAGGGGCTACACTTTAATGGCAACTGGGAGGGGGCTAATAGAAGAAAAGATCCTGTCGGTGCTGGAGAGGGGGAGTATGGGTCATTTCGACTGTCCCCTGCCTCCGAAAAGAGTGCTCCCTCCTCTCCCCACTACCCAGGCCTCAGTTTCTCATCCTGTCCTTCCCGGTTGGGTGCCCAGCCCTGTCTGCAGCCTGACTTTGTGGCTGCGGTCCCCCACCTCCACCTCAATTTCTCCGTCTGTCCTTTGGGGGCTGGGTGCCCCTCTACCCGCAGCCCCGACTCTGGCCGGCCTCTTGGCGGCGGTCCCCGCCCCACGCGTCCAGTCTCCAGTATCCGCCCCGACCCGCCTCCGGGATCCCGTCACTTCCTGCCCAGCCCCAAGTAAGCCCTGCCGGGTGGCGGCGCCGACGGCGACGTCCGAGCCATGGTCGCCCTGGAGAACCCCGACGGCGGCTCGGAGGCGGCGGGGGACGCCCGGGGCGGGCGAAGGACGCTGTGAGCGCGGTGGGGAGGGCGGGCACGCCCTCCTGGGCTCCGGCTCCCCCCTCTAACCCCTCCCCACCTCGGCCGCTGCCCCAGGCCCATCCCGTTCCTCTTCTTCGGTGACACCTTCTACATGCGGGTGGGGGTGGGGGCTTATTGTTACCCCGGGAAATCCCATCGCTGACACGGGACAGAGGGGCATACCCGAGTTACGGGTTTACAGACCCCTGGACCCTGGAGTCCCGGCCGGTGCGGAGCTGCCTGCGGGCTCTGTGCGCCTGTCACTGCTTGGGTGAGGCAGCTGCTGCGCGGTGTCCCCAGGGTTTTACCCGCACGCGGTGTTATTGTCCCCATGCTGGGTACTCACCACACAGCCAGGGCTGGTTCTTCGCTTGGGTTATCAACCCCGCTCCTGGAGGGGACAGGATTGTTGGTTTATGTCGGGCTACTTTCCCAGATTAAATAGGGGAGGGGGACTTAAAAACTGGGCAACCGAGTCTGTGTGTCCTGGGAGGGAGACTGGAAGCAGGTGGAACGACCCCATCTGGGTGTGGACCCCGTGGGTCGCAGATTTTCTTTGAACCCCGACGTTTACGCAGAAACTTGTGTGGTCCGCCCTTCGGTGCCTCAGTTTCCCCACCTGTAAAATGAGAAAATAACAATGGCCCCTTCTCAGAGTGGTGGGGGTCAATGACCCTGTCGCCCGAGGCGCCCAGCAAGTGGGATCATCCACTCTTTAATTATTTTAAACATCTGATTATTTTAGTTGCTTTATTATTTTAAAAGGATCTTATTTGATTATTTTTATTGTTATTTTATTATTATATTTATTATTACTCTATTGTTATTATATTTATTATTACCTTATATTATTATCTCTTCTGGGTATTTACCAGAGGCCATACAGGCCTCTACAGAACCCACCTGCCTGGTGCATTCCTCTGAGCCACTCTTGGTGCCCCCCATCTTGGTGTCCTGTGGGGTGTGGCCACTGTTGTGGGGGCCCTGCTGGGCCCCACCCAGGCTGAGTCACCTTTGCCCTGAGCCTTCTTGATTTCCTGCTCTGGAACTTGGTTCCTCTCTTGCCTGTTTCTGGGGGAGGGGACCAGTTAGACAGGGTGGTTTTTGCCCAAGGTGGCAGGTGTCAAAATTCCCTACTTCAGGGAGCAGAATTAGGGGCAACAAGGCCTGTTCCCTGCAAACCCAGCTTGACTTAGCAGCTGTTCGCCATTGGGCCTGGCTACTGTGCAGACATTTCCAAAGTACTATGGGTCCAGGAAGCCTCAGGTGCTGTGTCTGGGTCCTCAGTGTCCCCATCTATAAAGAGGTCTCTGGATGACATGGGAGGCAGATGAACTGGCCTTTAGGTGAATGTATGAATGTGTAAACAGAATGTCAGGTATTCACTCAACAACTAGCTATTGAGCACCTGCTGTGAGGCAGGTGCTGGGGACTCAGCAGAGACCAAGATGCCTCATCCTGTGTCCTGTTCCCATGGGTCTATCAAGGGAGGTGAGGATTAAGGAGTAAACACATACACGGACCAGCTGGTTTCAGATTGCTAACTGGTGAAACAGGCAAACAGGGCTGATTGGGCTAGTGGGAAGGAACAGTTTCCAGGGAGTTGACATTTGAGCAGAGGCCAGAATGAGCTGAGAAAAGGTGCTTCGGGCAGAGGGCTCAGCATGTGCAAAGGCCCTGAGGTAGACTATTTTTGGCAAGTTTGAGGCACATGAAGGGGCCCCTGTGGCAGGAGTAGAGGAAGCCATGGGGGAGAGATGGGGTTGGACATCGATGTTTTGACGTATAGATATATTTTATATGAGTTTATACCGATGTCCAACTACCCTCAGCCTTCATTACAAATCTGACGTACCCTGCTGCTTCTGCCCTGCCCCCTTCCACCCTGTCCTTTCTGTGTCTTGAGTGGGTGGGTCTGAGTCCCCTGAGGCCACATGTTTCTTATCTCCTGCTGGAATCTGGTTGAAGTCAGCAAGCTTGAATTGGTGGTAGACTCATTTTCCAGTGCTCAGCTCAGTGTTTCAGGCCCATGAGAAGGTGGTAAACCCCTTGAATGCCTGTGGGACCGGGCACAGACTGTGTGGTCCAGATACAGGACAAGCAGGGAGGAGCTAGGCCAAGGGGAGCTGGGCCTTGCCCTGAGGGTGCTGAGGAGCTATGGGGGGGTCATGGAGCAGGGGAGAGACCAGTTGGGTCTTAGCTAGGTGGGCTTTGTTTGGTCTGAGGAGCTCACCAGAGACCTCTGTGGATCCAGGAGGGAAGCAGGAAGCTAAGTAGTTGCAGGGGGTGGGGGGGGTTCCTGTTGAGATTTGGTTTCAAATCTTAGCTCTGCTCCTACTCTTAAGGTGCCGGGGAGTCCCATCTCTCAGAGTCCCATGCCCTGAGGGCTGGAGCTCTCTCACTGAGTCCTGCCCTGCTCTGATATCCGCCGACAGCTCCCCCCGGATGTGGCTTCTGTTATCGACCCCACCAGGCCACCATCCTGGACTCTGTCCAGCTCCCAGAGTGGAGACACAGGCTCTGGAGCTCCAGGGAGGCCACAGGTGTCTGAGGCTTGGGGTGGGGGTGCTCTGGGAGGCAACCCTCAGGTCAGGTCCTGTGCCTACTTGATATGTGAATGTTCAACTCAGGGATATTGCTATGATCGATGATGTGGCTGAGGAGATGAGCTCCCCATCAACAGGAGGAAACTGAGCAGGTGGCAGCTGGGTCACAGGGAGGGAGTGCCTGTTCTAGCTTCTCTTGTCTCTTAGTGCCCCCTTCCAGACCCATAGGCACCCACAGGGATTTTTCGGGAGAACTGATTCAGCAGTTACTTTTTTAAGTACCTACTGCGTGCCAGGCATGGCTGTAAGTGCCCGCATGGAGGTTACAGTCTAGTGGGAGAGGTGGGCAGTCGTCAACAGAGTAGAATGTACAGTGATCAGAAAAACCAAAGCAGTAAGGTATTAAATAGAGGAGGTCGGCATCTCACTGAGGAGGTTTCCACAAAAGCCAAAAGACAGTGAGTGGTGAGCTATTTGGAGTCTAGGGCAGTGTGCACCAGGCAGGGGCACAGCCAGTGCAAAGGCCCAGAGGTGGGACAGTGCTTTGCTACTGGAGGAGCAGCAAGGACCTGGCTGGAGCAGAGTGAGTGAGAGGGAGGGAATTAGGATATGTGGAGGGGGGATCCTGGCACCCCAGACCCTCTGGGGGCCAGAATCCACCATCACCCACAGGGTGAGGGTTTCTGAGCTCGGTAGGGACCATCCTGTGGTTTGGGGCTGTCAGCAGCTCCCCAGGAAGGCCTAGCAACCTTCTTGTCCGGAAGTTTCCATCCAAGAGCCCCCTGCACCTGGCCTGCAGGTCCCCTGCGGGTCCCCAGCGGGAGGCCTGGCCTTGGCACTACTAATCCATATCCACAGTTAATGCCATCTGCTAAGAGGAGAGCAAATTAGTTGGGGGGGGGCACACTCCAGCCCCCTCCCTGGTCCTGGCCCCTGGGCACATGGGGGAGGGAACTAAGAGGGGCACGAGGCAGGTGGACCCAGGTGAATCAAGTCTCTTAAGAAACTCTCAGAGGCCAGTAGTTTTCAAATCTGGACACACTGGGCCTCACCAGCTGGAGCTAAAACCTGGAAGGCTGAGGAAAGCAGGACACAGCTTTTCTCAGCCACCCATCGGATGTGTGAATTCAGGCAGGTGTCTTCTCTTCTCTGAGCCTTGGCTTACTAATCCGTCATCACAATTGTGCCTACCTTCCGGATGATGTGACCATGTAACAAAATGAAAGTTTAAGGGTCCGTGGCTATACATGTCAGGAGGTGAGCTCCCTGTTGCTGACGGAAACCAAACCGGTGATGGCTATGGTGGAGTGGCAATGGTAGGGGTCTTCCTGGGGGTCCTGGCCTGTCTTGGCTCTGAGGACTGTCCTCCACCCCCCTCCACCCCCTGGCCCACAGGCACTTTCCAGGATGCCTGCCCAATCTAGCGGGATCCCAAGTGAAGAGGTTCTCAGCCTCCAAGCGAAAGCAGCACTTCATCAACCAGGCTGTGAGGAACTCAGACCTTGTGCCCAAGGCCAAGGGGCGGAAGAGCCTCCAGCGCCTGGAAAACAGTAAGGAGGGGTCAGGGGTTGCCTCCTGCCAACACCTAGGCCTAAGATGAGAATGGTGTGCGTGTTGGCACTAACCGTTGCCCTTACCATGAGCCTGGCTCTGAACTGGGGCTGGGCCAGAGGGAGCTCTGAGCATTGGAGTTTGGGCTTTAAAGGGTGTGTAGGAGTTAAAGGGTATGTAGGAGTTCAATGAGGCAGGCAGAGGTAGAGGAGTTCTGGAGGCTGGATGGTTTCTGTGCTTTCTGAGAAAGACAGTTGGAGCATGGAGGTGGGGAGGCTGGTGTGAGCCAGAAACTAAAGGCTGTAAATGAAGAGGCCAGGGAAAGAAAGATGGCCCTGGGGGTCTCCATGGAGCCTGGGGGGGCCCCAAGAGCCACACCCTAGCCCAAAGATCATCTTTCCATCTAGCCCAGTACCTCCTGACCCTGCTGGAGACAGACGGGGGCACATCTGGTCTTGAGGATGGGGACCTGGCACCCCCTGCAGCACCTGGCATCTTCGCAGAGGCCTGCAACAATGAGACCTACGTTGAGGTGGGGCCCAGTACCCCATCTCACACCCTCTGCTCCAGCCTCTTTTTCTGTTCCAGCCTTCACCACCTGGCATTGCCTGTGCTGGTGCCCCTGCCAGGAGCATCCACCCTCCCCTGGTCCCTTGATGAATGCTCCCTCAGTCTCCCTCAGGTCCCCAGACCAGGCCAGAACCCTACCCCACCCCAGAAACTTCCAGCACCGGTGATTCACCTGCTCATCTATATCGATACCGCTCCTCAGACAGGCAGGTCCGCAGGTGCCCCGTGAACTCTTGGCAGGTCCAGCAGGCAAAGGTGTCCTCAAGGAGTATTTCCATGCCCTTTGTGGCCCTCCGTGTGCATTGGCCAGATAGGGAAACTGAGGCTTAGAGACACGCTGTCATTAGCCCAGGACTTGCCTGCCTCTGTTCTAGGTCTGGAATGACTTCATGAACCGCTCCGGGGAGGAGCAGGAGCGGGTCCTCCGCTTCCTGGAGGATGAGGGCAAGAGCAAGGCACGGAGGAGGGGGCCTAACCGGGGGGAGGATAGGCGGAGAGGTGAGGCCTGAATGGGGGGTGGAGGAGCATACGGATGGGGGCCTGGCCTAGCATGTAGGGCGGGGCTGGGGACAGGTGGGGAGGAGCCTAGCGTGGGGGCGGGGCCGGCGGTTTTCTCCAGCAGGCTGTTCCATGCCTTGGACTCTTGCAGAGGACCCGGCCTACACCCCGGGAGAGTGCTTCCAGCGCATCAACCGGCGTCTTCGAGCAGTCCTCAAGCGGACCCGCATCCCCATGGTGAATACTAGGCTGGGTCTGTCTCCACCTGCCTGTCTTGGCGGGGCGGGGTGAAGGGAGGTCTGTTACCCAGCGCGTGTGCTGTGGTGAAGACAGGGCAGGATACGCACCCGTGTGATCAGACTGCAGGACCCAGGGCTGGACAAGGGCTTTTCTTGAGGGTGGGAAGGCCAGGGGCAATGAAGGTGGGCACTGCAGGATGTGTAGGAGTTCATCAGGCAGAAGATGCAGGCATTCAAAGGTATGGAGATATCTAAGTGCCTGGTATTCTTTTTTTTTTTTTAATTGGGGAGTTGGGGGGATGGGAACAGTGCTGGGGAATTGGGGGAAGGGGAACAGACAAGTTGCTGTTGTTTTGTTCTTCAGTCTAGTTGTGGAGGACGTTGCTTCACTGGCCCAAGTTGGCACCATCATTGCGCTCTTCCCGGGTGAGGCAGATCAGTCACTGGCTTCTGGACGGCTGCTCACTGCGGCTGCTGGCCGCTCACGCTGGCTGCTGGCTACACATGGTAGCCCATGGCAACCCACTGCCACAGGGGCTGCAGCCTACGCCGTCTCCGACAACTCACAGCAGCCCAGCTCCAGGTTGAGCTGTTGTTCAGCATCTTAGCTGTGGAGGGCAGTGTCACTGGCCCTCATATGTGGGATCCGAACCGGAGCCCTCTGGCGTCCCAAGCCAGTTCTTAACCATCGCATCACTCGGCCAGCCCTGCCTGGTATTCTTGGAACTAGTTAAGTAGCTTCATGTAGCTGGTCACATTTGAACTTAGGGCTTTATAAAGGCTCTCGAGGCTGCCCTGGGCATGGGGGTCCTACACAGCCCGCCCAAGATTCCAAAGTTGGCCTGATCCCTGGGCCTGTCTCTCCTGCAGGAAACACTGGAGACCTGGGAGGAGAGGCTGCTGAGGTTCTTCTCTGTGTCCCCCCAAGCCGTATACACGGCCATGCTGGACAACAGGTGATTGGTGGGGGTGGGTGCTGTGAGCTCCCTGGGTGGCCAATTTCGGCCCATGGCCACTCACTGCCTGTTCCTCCTCAGCTTTGAAAGACTTCTGCTCCATGCCATCTGCCAGTATATGGACCTTATCTCAGCCAGTAAGTGCCTGGGGGCCCGGGACTCCCAGTGAGCCAATTCAGCCAGAGCAAACTGAGGCCACATGGGTCTGCTCACTGAGCCAGAGGCTTCTGGGGGCTGGGGGACAGCCTAAGCAAAGCGGTGGCAGTGGGACGCTGCAAGGCTCCTGTGGCCCTGGCCCTACTCTGGGTGATACAGTATACATAGATATCCCTTCATCCACATCTTCAGGGACAGGGGGAGAGAAGGACCTGTGTGGGGGTGATGAAGCTGGGCCTTGAGGGGCCCCAAGATGACATAAGGACACCCCGATGTCTGCAGTTTCCTCATTTAGCCATAGCCCCCCTCCACTGTGCCAAACATGTGACTTCTGGCAAGTGACCCCTCCTGGGGCCTGTGTCCCCACTTTACAGAGGGGGGTGATCTCAGGACACAGACCCCCAGGGGCTCATGGGCCCTTGCTGGCCCTGGGCGCCCCCAGTAGGAACTTTCCATGCCTCTCTGCCTCCTGCCCTGGAATTGCTGAGACAGTTTCCATGGCAACCCCAGGATGGTTCATCCTGAGATCCCTGAAGCTCTCCCTCACAGGAAAGCAGCCCCATGCTTGCCTTTGTTCCCATAGACTCAGGATATTTGCATAGACTTATGATGGAGGGACTGGGCTGGGGGTGCAAATGGGAATCAGGGGAAAGGGAAAAGCCGGGTCTGCTCGGAGGAGGTCCCAGAAGAGGTGGGACTGGGCTTCAGAGACCCTGAGGGCAAGGATGGAGGCAGGAGATCAGGAAGGAGGTGCAACACTTGTTCAGGGCCTAAGTGTCCCCTTGGCCTCTGGCCTGTTTTTCAGTGTGCCCATCTGAACACGGGATGAGGGACCGAAAGGATGAAACAGGGTGCAGATGGAGCCCTAAGAGAATAGCAGCTGTTTGCCGGAGTCTGGCCCTGGGACCTGAGGGGGTCACATCGGCCAGACCCTAAGTGCCAGCTTGTAGTAACTTCCAGCAGGGAAGAACCAATGGCATGGTGCCTCTGTGTGCCATGACTCTCATGTTCTTTTAATTTTTGCCCCACTTGTCCCCTCTTACAGGTGCTGACCTGGAGGGCAAGAGGCAGATGAAAGTCAGCAATCGTCACCTGGACTTCCTGCCGCCTGGGCTGCTGCTGTCTGCTTACCTGGAGCAGCGCAGCTGATGGCTGCCCTGCCTACCTGCCCCCCTCCCTCACCAAGACTTCCCATAGCATCTGCTAAAATATGTTTGTTATTTTTAGAATTTGTCTTTGAAGATGTGCCCCCCCCCCTTGGGTAGCAGTCTCTCACCATGGCTCCAGCCCAGCCCAGCTCTCCCAGGTGAACAGCTGGCAGCTGGGGCTGTCCCAGACTATCCTGGGGCCCCATAGCTCCCCACTCTGGGACTTGTATTTGGATGGGGAGACCTGGCCTGTTCACTTTCATGTTCCTTCTTCATTCAGTTTTTTGGGCCCAGTCTGAAGCTTAAGTGAGGAGTGGCTGGGTTTTTTAATCACTTAATTCGGCGTGATTTGTTATAGATTTTTAAATTTCCCATTTGGGAAGAAAAACTATATACTTGCCCCAACTGATAAACTTGGGGGCTTTATTCTAGTCCCTGCTTTACCCCCTTCCAGTTTTTGGCTAGGATAGGGAGGTCTCTGGGGTGCTGCCCAGGAGCATTATGTCCTCTGTGTATGTGTGTGTGTGTGTGTGTGTGTGTGTGTGTGTGTGTGTGTCTGTCTGTCTGTCTGTCTGCGTGCGCGTGTGCATGCCAGTGCCCCGTGACCCAAGACAAGCTGTGGCTTAAAGGCTGGTTTTACCCTCTTTGGAATGTGTGTCCCCTGGTGCCTTTTTGTGGCTCTTGAGGCCACACCTGCTCTACAACTCCCCTCTTTTAATACTAGGGGTCTGGGACTTTCAGCCAGAAGCTCCTGCCCTCAGACTGCCACTTTCCCCTCTCCATGTCCCCTCACCTTCTCCATCCCCCAGCCTGGCTCTAGCCTGTTGGTTTGGGGTTGTCTCCTGCTGGTCACCTAGACCTGGTCCAGAAGAGCAGGGCTGGGGGACACTCCACTCCCGTGTATTAGTTGCGCATTTGGGAAAGTGAAGAGTTCAATAAATTTCTGGTGCTCTGGTCTCCTGCTGTGGGGTTTTCTTTTGGGGCAGGGCTGGGGGCACAAAAGGCCCTCTGGATGTGCTTGTGGCCTGGTCCCTGGGGGCTGTGAGCCTGAGGGGAGGAGCTTCGTGCTCAGTGACAGCCAGAGAGTTAGGCAGGTGGCAGGGAGACTTCTGGGAGCATCTGACTATTGGCTCTGCCGCCCTGACCCCTTCCTGGTGCTCGAGTTCAAACTCCACCTCCACCACTTCCCAGCTGCATCACCTCCCCCAGCTAAATGAACTCGTGTGAGGTTTCTGGGGCAGCAGGAAGAAAATACCTCCACACTGGAATGAAATACTCCACACTGCGGCTGAAAACCACAGGGATTTATTGTCTCCCAGGTCTGGAGGCCAGAAGTCCAAACTCAAGGTGTCGCAGGTCCGCCCTACCTGCGGAGATTTCAGGGGAGGGTCCTTCCTGCCTCTCTCAGCTCCTGGGGACTCCAGCATCGCTTGGCTTGTGGCTACATCCCTGCAGCCTGTGCCTCCATCGTTTACACGTGGCCTCCTCCCTGTGACTCTTCACATTGTCTTCCCTCTGTGTGTGTCTGGGACTGGCCGAGGTTCCTGCTGGACGTCTCCATCCGGGTTTTCTGGTGTTTTTCCCATGATTGCACTGAGGGATGCGTCCTGCTCATCTGGTCACATCAGGGTCCCTGCTGTCCCTTGGCTCCTCACGGCTGACGTTGACCCTGATCTCCTGGCCGGGATGCTTTTCATGCTTCTGCACTGGGAAGTTCCCCTCCCACACTGCTCTCTCGGAAGGAGTCGCCATGAGCAGCCCACGTGAAGGGGCGGGAGTTAAAGCTCGCCTCCTAGATAGGGGAGCTCGCCGACAGTGACGCGGGTTCGAGTCTTGCCCTGGACAAATGCTGGCTGTGTCAGTTCTTCCTAACCCTCTTCTCCAGCCGGGTTCTCAGGCTGCCCGGCCTCCAGGCCTTTATCCAGGCCGTGCCTTCTGCCCGGTGAACCCTTCCCTGCAACCCCAGCGGGGCGAGGGGTGTCTTCCTAGGAAAGACCCTCCAAACTGGGGAGAGTCTGGCAGAAATAGAAGCAGCTTTTGGAGAAGGAATTGGGGATGAGATTTGAACCCAGAAGGGCCCTCACCTCAATTGGATAAGGTACCTGGCTTATCAGTGCCTCAGTTTCCCCACCTATGAACAACACAAAAGAAAAGCAAATAGGAAACAAGTATTACAGAACTAGGTTTTAGAGGAGTGGGGGATGGGGTTTGAGACTAGAAGTCCTCCACCCGCGGATATCAGAAAAGCAAAACACGGAAGACTTTATGAATTTGCGTGTCATTTTTGCGCAGGGGTCATGTCTAATCTTTGTGTCGTTCACCATTTTAATATACTTGCTGCGCGAGCAAACAAGGGCTGGGTATGACCCGAGGGCTATTTAGAGAGCAAAGATAAATTTTCTTTCACAAAGGGTGAACTTCCTTATAAAGGTTTAACAACAAATGTTTACATTATATTAGTGTGACATATATTGGAACCAAATGTAGTCATTTATTGGAGTTAATAAAGTGTACCTTCTACCAAATAAAACTCAGGTGGCTGCTGGGAATCTATTAATGCACATATGCAAATTAACAGGAAGTGGGGCGGAGTCGGAGCCGCCGCCGTCCCAGAAGTCTCTTGGGAAGCGGCCGCGCTGCGCGGGCGAGTCGTTGGTCGTCGGGTAAGAGGTTGGCGCCGGAACCGGGGATTTAAGACGAGTGCTGTATACAGCCGCGGTACACGGGCCCGCCAAGTGAGCGCGGGGCTACGGGAGCCTGGAGGGTTGGCCGGCCTCCGGGCGGCCCCGGGGTACGTGGCACGGAGAAAGCGGGGACTCGTGGGCCCGGGACGGGGTCTGTGGGGTCAGAGGGAGGGTCTGGAGGGCAAAGGGTTCTGGGTACCTGGGGTCCGGAGCTGGGGGAAATTGGGGCGGGGTCTGGGGATTTTCTCCCTTAGGGAGGGAGTCTGGGACGAATCGGGGGGAGGCTTGAGGGTCTGGGAGACTTGTGGGCGGAACCTAGAGATTGCGTGGGGGGCCCCTGGGCTGGGGCCTGGAGTCTCAAGTGAGAATTGGAGGTGGGACCTGGAGGTCAGGTATATGGGGGCGGGGTTTGGAAAGCAAAGGTTTTTGGGGGCGGGGCTGGAGGTCTTTGGGGACTGAGCTAGGGACTGGGGACTCTGGAGTGGAGCCTGAGAGTTTAGGCTGTGCCTGGGAGCTCAAGGAGCAAATTGGGAGGGGTGTTTGGAAAGCAAAGATTGAAGGGGGTGGGGATGATTAGGGGCGGAGCTTAAAGTGTTGCCGGGGCTTGTGGCGGTGCTTTGTTGTTCTGGAGCAGGCCTGAAGAACTGGGGACGTGGGGTTAGTGGTTCAGAAAAGTGGGGTGATCGTACTAACAATCTCACTGAGCTTTTGTGATGGTGAAAGGAAATAACCTGTAATTGATCCCGGCACATAGCTCTGAGGAAACCTTCACTGCTTTTGTTATTGCTACACTCAGCAAGTCCCACACTAAGACCAAACTGCTGACTCCCCCGCAACCCAGCCAGAGGCAGACCCACCAGTGCCCTTCCTTCAGAATAAACCCAGGATTCGACCTTTTCTTACAGTTGTCATTGCCCTCCACTTTGTTACTATCCTGGACCTGTGCAGTCATCCCCACCCCATCCCCCAAGCTGTACCCTGCAGACAGCCACAGGGGTCCTATTGAAACATAAATAGGTCACAGCCCTCCTGAGGCTCCCACCTCACTCAGGGTGAAAGCCCACAAGGCCCTGTACAAGCCGCCCCTAAGCTCAACTGCCTGACCACTCCGTGAGTACCCTAGGCCCAATCCAGCCTCGTACCTTTGCACTGGCTGTTTCCTCTGCCAGGAATACTCTTGTCAGACATCTCCATGCCTCAGAGCTCCCTCACACTTTTGCTCAAATGTTGTCTCCCTGGGATTGCCTTCTTGGCCCTCCATGTTTAAAATGCAGCCCTCCCCCTCCCCCCAAGACCCAAGGTCAGGGTTGGGCCCTTTTCATTCTCTGTGGTGACCCAGCGTCTAGCATAACATTAAGTGCCCTGCAGGTGCTTAGTGAACGCTATGATGAGCTAGTTTTCTCTGTCACTCCCTCAGGTGGTCATTCCCTCCCTCAAGTGACTGTCTTTGGTGTGTGACCTGTGGTATGTGGGCACGATGGATCTGGCTTATGTCTGCGAGTGGGAGAAATGGCCCAAGAGCACCCACTGCCCGTCAGTGCCCCTGGCCTGTGCTTGGTCCTGCCGCAACCTCATCGCCTTTACCACAGACCTCCGGAACGATGACCAGGGTGTGCCCTCTCACCCCCAGCCCAGCTTCCCTTCCTTCTCCCCACACAGGCTCCCACTGTACCTGGAACACTGCTGTGGAGCAACTCCAAGTCTCCAGGCCTACCTAGGAGCTATCCTCCACCCATCCAGACCCTCTCAGGGCTTCCTCATTCGTAACGGGGTGGTGAGGGCTGCTGTCCTCTGTAAGCCTTCCATTTAACTGATGCCTACTATCCTCGGTGAACCTCGCATTTAAGTGGTGGCTGCTGTGATAGTGCTCTCCTACACCTGTGTGATAAAAGGGGGTGAGGGTGAGTGTCCCACTCAGGTTTGTTGGAGACTAGTGCCTTAGTTTCCAGACCGTACATGTCACTATTTGGCTTTCAAAAGCCTCTAAGGTGCACGGCTGCTGGGCCATCTTCTCTCCATCATCTGAGTAATGTGCACTCATTAGAGAAAATTTAAAAAGCACAGAAACTGAGGATAAAGAGAACCACCAGTTACCTTCCATGGAGAGAGGCCCACTGTTAGCATTTATGGGGTCATTTTCTTCCTATTCTGTTTTCTCGGTCTCTTAAAAACGTGGTTATAGACACACTGTTGGCAAACTCCTGGGCCTGCTCTGTTCTCCTGAGGGGACACAGCTTGTTCCTCATTACTGCCTGGGCCGTCGATGTGGTCAGCAGCACCTCCGTGACTTCCCTGTGGGTGGGACATTCGCTGGGTTCCTCCCTGAGTTCCCCTGGGGTCATTGGTTGCCTCAGAGCCATGTCATTGTCACCTTGCAGACTGTATCCCATCCCCTGCAGACCTGACCCGCCTGATCCACATCCTAGACACGGAGCATCCCTGGGATGTGCATTCCATCAACTCGGGGCACAGTGAGGCCATCACCTGCCTCGAGTGGGATCAGTCAGGTGAGGGCGGGACCCATGCAGTTCCTACATGGCCAAGGGAGGCCGTGGTGATGCTCACCCTTGACCCCAAATCCCAGGGTGACATGGTCTGTCTTTTCCTGGTTATGTCCCCAGAGTCCAGAACTGGAACTCGAACCTTTGACCTATGGCTTTGCAGCTACTGCTCTTCCTTGTTTCCCATGTCCAGAGCTGTTTCCTCAGCATGCCTTGTGCCACTCCCTTGCTCCACCTCCACTGGGCTGGTTTCTTCCAGGCCCTTAACATACTGTGGTGATTATCTCTGCCCACAGTGGGGGTTTGTGATGCAGGTTTGCCCCCCACAGGCTCCCGGCTCCTGTCAGCTGATGCCAATGGACAGATCAAGTGCTGGAGTATGGCAGACCACCTGGCCAACAGCTGGGAGAGCTCTGTGGGCAGCCTGGTGGAAGGGGACCCCATCGTGGCCCTGTCCTGGCTGCATAACGGTGTGAAGCTGGCACTGCACGTGGAAAAGGTGGGTGTCCTGCTTGAGAGACCAAGTGCCATGGATGAGATTATGTACTGTTTCATCCACCAGTAAATCTGGCTACTCCTCTCCCATTACCAGAATCCTCTGGTTTTTCGAGCCGTGGACCTGGGTCATGCTTTTGATTAAGCCGTCAGTTGACTCCTGTGTTCTGGTGGGCCAGAACTGATGGCTGCTATCCTCAGTGAGCAAAGGCTCACTCTTTGACTTAGTAATATTCCAGAATTTCTTTCTTCATACCCTGTATTTCAGCCCAGTGTCACAGTTAAGAGTGGGAGCCACCTGGGTCAAAGGACACCTGAATTGAAATCCTGACTTCATGCCTTGGTGCATCATGTTGCTCATTGTCAAATGGGGTTGCTGGTGGATTGTGGTGAGGATTCAATGAGAGAAGGTGTGAGAGGGCTCAGCTTGGGGCCTGGCACAGGCTTGAGGCCCAGGAACCTGCATTCTGTTCCGGCTCACCAGAGAGGGGCACAAATGTTCTCAGACCACCTGGAGAAACCCTTTGTAACCTCCTGCTTGGTGTTGCTTCAGTGAAAAAACATTTGTCAAGACTCATGGAACCACATGCTTAAAAAAGGGTGAATTTTGTTGCACATAAATCATAATTTAAATCCAATTTGCAAACATAAAATAGTAAGAAAATAGCAGTAGTAGCCAGTACTTTCACGGCACCTCCTGAATGCTTTACTGAAGGGGTGTGTGTTTGTGAGTGGTCTTATCAGTGGCTACTCCTGCAAATGCAAATACGAGTAGTCGCAGCAGAGGCTACCTGGCTTGCAAAAGTGAGAATGCTTTGTCTGGCCCTTTACAGGAGAAGGTTGCTGATTTCTGTCCTACACATGTTTAGTCATTTGATCCTCACCACGGTCCTCCAAAGTACAGATGAGGAGACTGAGGGCCAGAGAGGCCCACATCACACAGTGCTCAAGTGGCTGAGGCAGGATTTGAATTCAAGTCCACATTCTCGTGGCTTCTGTCTCATTGTTCTTCTTTGATTTTGTGAGTGTCACTTCCAGAAGGGGATTGTCAGGTCATAAGAGGCAGACCCAAATGGCTGTCAGGGTATCTTTCCTGACGCCCTAGAGTGGGGACTTTGACACTGAGCAGACCCCTTACGTCCTCACCCACAGTCAGGAGTCTCCAGCTTCGGGGAGAAGTTCTCCCGTGTCAAGTTCTCTCCATCGCTCACACTGTTCGGGGGCAAGCCCATGGAGGGCTGGATTGCAGTGACGGTCAGCGGCCTGGTCACCGTGTCCCTACTCAAGCCTAGCGGGCAGGTGCTGACATCGACGGAGAGCCTGTGCCGGCTGCGCGGCCGCGTGGCCCTGGCTGACATTGCCTTCACTGGTGGCGGTAATATCGTGGTGGCCACGGCAGACGGCAGCAGTGCCTGTCCTGTGCAGTTCTACAAGGTGTGCGTGGGCGTGGTCAGCGAGAAGTGCCGCGTGGACACTGAGATCCTGCCCTCGCTGTTCATGCGCTGCACCACCGACCCCAACCGCAAGGCCAGGTTCCCTGCCGTCACCCACCTCAAGTTTCTGGCCCGCGACATGTCAGAGCAGGTGAGTGCCTGCCGGCCGTGCTTCGACACTTGCCAGCAATCCCGGGGTTAGGAGTCCACACAGGCCTCTCGGAGCTAAACCCAGGTGAGGGCAGGGCTGATTGTTCTGGCAGCCCCAGGGATAACTGTTTCCAGCCTTTTCCAACTTCTAGAGGCACCGTATCCCTAGCTCTTGACTCTTTCTTCATCGTCACAGCCAGCCGTGCAGCCTCTTCCATCTCTCTGACTCTGACCCTCCTGTCTCCGTCTTCTGAGGACCTTGTGATGACACTGGGCCCCTCTAATCCAGTGTTGTCCCTTAACTTAATCCCACCTGCAAAGTCTCTGTGCCATGTGTGGTGACATGTCTGCAGGTCCCGGGGCCAGAATGGGATTGACCCCACTAGGTCACCCAAGTTCCCATTATAACCACACAGCAATAAGGCCCAAACCCCCACCAGGGAGGGCACCATCAGGGTGACGTTTTGTTTCAGCATGTTGGCGGGTGGTGGGGCCTGGGTTCAAATCCACAACAGCTGTGAGGTCGGAGCTGGTGTGAGCAATAGAGGAGCTGGAGACCCAGGGAGGGGAGGTGGCTGGATCAGGCAGGCCAGCACTGAGGCCAGGGTATAGTAGTGAGTGCCTAACAAAGTGTGCATGCCCAAGGCACTGCCTCCTCATCAAGCTGCCCATCGTTTCCCCCAGGTGCTCCTGTGCGCGTCCAGCCAGACAAGCAGCATTGTGGAGTGCTGGTCCCTGCGGAAAGAGGGGCTCCCTGTGAACAACATCTTCCAGCAGATCTCTCCTGTGGGTGAGTCCCCATCGAGGAAGGAAGGCTGGGGCATTTGACTTTTTTTTTTTTTTTTTTTAAAGAATTTTATTGGGGAATTGGGGGGATGGGAACTAGTGCTGGGGAATTGGGGGAAGGGGAACAGACAAGTTGCTGTCGTTTTTGTTCTTCAGTCTAGTTGTGGAGGACGTTGCCTCACTGGCGCAAGTTGGCACCATCATTGCGCTCTTCCCGGGTGAGGCAGATCAGTCGCCGGCTTCTGGACGGCCGCTCACTGCGGCTGCTGGCCGCTCACGCTG